TGGGATCCACAATGGCCACCTACAAACACCTTTCCAAGGTAACACTCAACCCCAACTCAACCTTAGACCCCCAGTCTCTACCTGAAACAGAGCCCCACCCCAGCCCCACCCCAAGATCAGCATCCACACAACCTCTCCTCTAGATCCAGCTTTGAGCCCCACCCAACCCCAATGTATCCCCACCCTAACCCAGGGTCACCTCAGCTTTCACCTCAAATATATTCCAATGCCAGCCCAACGCATCTCCCTACCAGCCATCCCAGACCCAACACAACTTCAACTCCAAACTCATGGTCAATACCCCTCCTCATGCCCATGAAATCCTACATCTACTCTTGGCTCCAAACTTCTGATCATCTCCAGACTCACAAGCCACACACACCCACCTGAGTCTCAACTCCAGCTTCAGGACCTCAACCCAGTCCCAAAGCCACTGACATCCTAGATTCACTCCTCCTCCAACCTTAGACCCAACAGCTGCCCTGCATGCAAACCCTGACCCAACTTTTAACCTTTTCTCATAACCTAAACTCCAAACTCAATCCCAAATCTAAGACTAATGAGATGGAACCCAAACCTTAGCCTAAATCAACTTTGGGGCTGGAGTGGGGTTCTGTTTCAGGCAGTCACCCAAGAACTCATCGTGAACCAACTCTAAACACAAATTATACATCATAGCAAACCTTCCACTAGGCCTGCCTTAACCCTCACTATAACCCTAATGTCACTCTCAACCCTAACCTATTGCCCCTGGTCCTTCAGCTCAACAACTCCCAACCCTGACACCAACCCTCAGTGAATTCCTATTCTTCATCCTAAACTAATTTTGAGGCCCATCCAGCTGCCTAAACTCAACCCCAATCCTTAACCCTTTCTCAGTAATTCCCAATTTCAAACTCTACCCCAATCCTAATGCCAACAAAATCCCACATGAATAAATACATAACCATAATCCTTAAGCCAACCCTAGACTCAACAGCCACCTATGTGTAACCCTCCCCTAAATTCTAAGTCCACCTTCAATGCTTCAACTCAGCCTGATCATAAAGCAACTGATATCCTAGATTCACCCCTCAATGAACCCTGGACCCTACAGCCATCCTACCTCCAACTCCAGTCTTAACCCTACACTCTTCCTTGGTGTTGATCCCATTTGAGACTTGGTCCCTATCCTAATGTCAATGAAACTCTCAAGTGAGCCCTAACTAACCCAAACTCCAACAGACTTCAAAACCAAGCTTCACATCACCACCAACGCCGCCTGAACCCAGGGCCGCCAGCCCACCTTGGCCCTTATGCAGGTGTCCAGTGTGGAGTTGCTGACTGCCAGCTGTATCTTGAGCTGCTCGGCCTCCCGCTTCTTCTCCTCCAGCTCCTTGGCCTGGTTGTCTCGCTCCTTCCGCAGCGCTGCCTTCTCCTCCAGCGCTAGCTGGGTCTGCCTGGCACACTCGGCCTGCAGCTTGGCCTCCCGGGCCTGGGCTTCCTTCGCTACCTTCTCCTTGGCCTCCTGACTGGCCCTCAAGGCCTGCTCAGCCTCCAGTTTCTGGCGCTGGAGGTCTTCGTTCTCTTGGGCCACACGCTGGATGCCAGACCGCAGGCTCTGGGCCAGCTCCTCCACCTTGGTGCTCATGAGGTTGGGCAGGTGGTCGCAGATTCTCCGTACGGAGACCAGTTCGGAGCCGATGGTATGGTATGGGCTGTAGCCTAGTGCGTCGAGGGTGCGCGGGATGATGGAGTCCCTCCAGAGGTTGCGCAGGTCCACCGCCAACTTGTCCTTGTCCAGCGGGAGGCAGAAGGACTGCACCTTCTGCAGATGACTCTGGGCCAGCTGTAGCTCCTGCCGCTGCTGCTCCCGGGCCTTGCCGCATTCAGCCAGTTGCTCCTCCACCACCCTCTTGCTCAGCCCCAGACCCTCCTTGTCCCTGGCGCACACAGCCTTCTCCTTGGACAACTCCACCTCTAGCGTCTTGGTCTTCTGGTTCAGCTCGAGGCGCAAGGCTGCAGGCACAGGGTGACAGGGAGCAGGAAGGCTGGGGGACTGCCAAGGAACTGGATGGGGAAGCCCCCACCCTGGCTCCCCACTGCCCGGAGCACTCACCGTTGCAGCTCTTGTTAGTCTCCTTGAGCTGTTCTTGGCATTGGTTCTCGCTCAGGATAATGGCAGCCATGAACTTCTGGTTGTTCATGTAGGTCGTCTGCCCGGATAGGACACAGGCCAGACCTCAGAGGGACATCCCCTGACCCCGGGACTGCCCAGACCCTCAGGGCTGAGGCCCCAGATCCAGCACTCAGATGGCCTAGTTCAGTGGTAGGCAAACCGCGGCTCGCGAGCCACGTGCGGCTCTTTGCCCCCTTGAGTGGGGAGGTCATGGATCATTTACAGTGAAAGCTGGTCTGATCTTCGAAAGTTATTATTATTACCCTGGCCAGTGTATTAGTGGTTAAATTGTCAGCCTGGGAACCCAAGGGTTACAGGTTTGATCCCCAGCCCTGTTCAGGGCCCTAGCGTCAGGAAACAAATTGATGTCTCTCTCTCCCTCTCTCTCTCTCTCTCTCTCTTATCCCCCTCCCTTCCTCTCTCCCCTCCACTCTAAGAAGCGATGGGAAAAAATATCCTCAGGTGAGGATCTAAAAAGTGTGTTATAAAAAGAAGTGCTGCTGAAACCGGTTTGGCTCAGTGATATAGAGACGGCCTGCGGACTGAAAGGGTTTCGGGGTTCATTTCCGTCCAGGGCATGTACCTGGGGTGCCGCACATCTCCAGGGGAGATGTGCCGGAAGCAGCTGAACAATGTTTCTCTCCATACGAGTTCTGACTCTCTATCACTCCTGCCTTCATCTCTGTTAAAACTCAGTGACAGATATTAAAAAGAAACGAAGCGTATTCACTAAATACATTTTGGCAAAAAAATTTTGGAGACCCTGCGCCTGGCTACAA